CCCCCCAGTAACCACCAGCCTAGGGTCAGGAACCTTTGGACACCTGACATCATGATTGTGGTGGGAACTGCTTTATTGACAGCTGACAGGGCTCAGGCCTCTCCTGAGGCTTGGAAGTCCATGTCCACCACCAGGTCCTGGAGGCAGGCCTTGTACTGGTCAAAGGTGAGGGAGATGGGCTGGCTGTTGGAGATGCGCAGGTTCACGGTGCTGTCCAGTGAGGAGGCACCCCCTTCCCGGGCAATCTCCAACAGCTGTTTAAGGCATGTAGGAACCACCTGCAGGAGGCAGAAAGGAGTCAGGACAAAGCCCAACTCCCATGGGCCCCTGGACTGCTGGGAACTAGTTTCCCAGTCACAGACACAGGGCCAGAGCCCCTAGGGCCACCTTGTTGTTGGGTGGGTTGTGCAACAGCTTCTATATGGTCTAGAGAGCCAAACAAACCCTGTTAAGAGGGAGGCCATGCAAAAGACACCCAGAGGCTCCTGGGATGGATGGGGATATGTTTGTAGAGACCCTTTGAAGCTGCTGCTTTTCAGAGGGGCTTGTGGGAGTTGTAGTTCCTTGGTGCCATGGCTTCCCCCATAAGCCCACCCCTCCCAGCCTCAAGCACAAGACAGCAGGCACCTTGACCATCACGAGCCTCTTTACCCATGGCTGGTCCTGGGGCCATGACTCCCCCACACAGAACCACAGAGTATAGCGTGGGGAACGTCTCCTTCCCTCCACGAAAGCGATGAGATCTGGGGATCCAAGAGTCAGGTCAAGGGGAGGAATGACAAACCCCTGCCCTCCCCATATCCCCAACGCTCAGTATCTCTCTCCCCTGGGAAAGCTCCTTGGCCACCACAGGCACTGCTGGGCTAGGCAAGTCCCTGTGATTCTAACACAAACTAGTCTTTGCCCTTCTCCCAGCACTGCAGGGGTGAGAGGTCAGCCCATCCCACCCAGAGCCCTAGCAGCCAGGAGGAAGGCAGATCCCTAGGAGGACAGCCTGTTAGGGTGCTCAGAAGGCAGTTGGACTTATGGCTCCTCAACTTCTGAGGCCTTGCTGTGGTTATTTACATTGTGAGAATGGGCCTATGATGCCACTATGTGAGGCTGTGTCAGGACAGTTTGAGGCCTGGCCAGGCTACACAGTGAGACTGCCTCAGAAATTAAAAGCAACTACTGGGCCAGCACACCTTTAATCCCAGCACTCAGGAGGCAGAGGCAGCCGGATCTCTGTGAGTTCAAGACCAGCCTGGTCTACATAGTGAGTTCCAGGACAGCTGGGGCTACAGGGAGACCCTGTCTCAAAAAAACAAAAACAAAAAAAGCAACTACTATAAAGCAAAGAATGTTATGCTGGGGGTGAGGTTCACCCCTGTCTTCCAGCAGTGGGGAGGCTGGAGGCCAGCCTGGGCTAAGGAGTGAGACAAAAAATCATAACCTCTTAAAATTTGTCCTTTTCCTTTTTTTTTTCCTTTCTTTTTGCAGTGCTGAGGATGGAATACAGGGCCTCAAACATGCTAGGTATGCTAGGCAGGGGTTCTAGCGCTGAGCCTCACCCCAGCCCCTCACTGGGGGATCCTAGGCAGGGGCTCTAGCACTGAGTCTCACCCCCGCCCCTCACTGGGGGATCCTAGGCAGGGGCTCTAGCATTGAGCCTCACCCCAGCTCCTCACTGGGGGATTCTAGGCAGGGGCTCTACCACTGAGCCACACCCCAGCCCCTCACTGGGGGAGTCTATGTGGGGGCTCTGCTAAGCCACACCTGCAGACCTACCATCAGTTTTTGAACCCACTATTAAATGGTTTCCTGAGCATCTTAGGTGTTGGGCTGTATTACACACCAGATCCAAAAGGAGTAAGTGTCCCTGGACTTGGTAGGACAGGTCTGTCCTTTACCACAAAGTAGAGAGTGGCAGGCTGGGCTCTGAGATCAATCAACCACCATGGTTGATGGAGTCCCATGTGAGGCACTCACCTCGCACAAAGGGTCCCAGGTCGAATACAACTCCATCTTTGTCCTTGGGGACCTCTCCATCAGGCCCATTTCCGATGTCTGGAAGCAGCTCCTCGCCCACAGCCCAAAAGGAATGGGAGTGCCCTAGCCTCCGGGCCCAGAGGTGCTGGCCCGCCCGCCACAGTGCCAGCCCCTTGCCCAGGCACTTCAGCACATGTCTCACGTATTCCCTCACGAGCCCATCAGTCAGAAACGCCTCAGGGTCTGGCAGGGTTACTGGCTGCCAGGGGAGTGTCCTGTCCTCAGCTGTGGAGCCCACCAGTCGTAGGCCTCCTGGGTAAAAGAGTGCCTGCTGGAAGACCTGGCGGCCTCGGTAGAAGGCAGTCACCTCGAACTCCCACCCTGAGCAGCAGCAGCATGAAGAAGGAAAGATGGACAGGGCCAGGGTGAGGGCTGCTGTCCCTGCTGCGGACCCTCCTACCCCACAGCAGGTACTCACCATCCTCGACCAGCAGGTGCTTCACTGGGTTTTCCTGGGGTGCTGGGTTTGGGGGTTTGTCCAAGTTGGGGTTCAGCAAGAGCTGACAGTGCTCAGGAACAATAGCCAGGCTAGAAGGCCCCTCATCTGGAAGAGGGGCCAACTCCATGTCACCCAATAACTCCAGGAGGTCTTCCTGGAAGAGAGAAAAGCCAGGCTTTTCAACAACCTAGTCTGAGTCAAGAGGGTGGCAGACTGCATCAGGAAGGGTCCACTCACCCGGAGAGGGGAGGAGGGGGTGGCCTGACAGGGTCAGGGTGAGGCTGAGGCACCCTCACCTGGGGATCAGACACACTGCTTCCACCATTGGTGTCAGGAGAGGTGTTCAGATGCACAAGGTCCTCTGCTCCTGTGCAGACAGGGTGAGCAGAGTGGGTGAACAAGATCCTCCTGACCCCAAGCTCTCTGTGACACTCCCCCCAGGCAATCTTGGCACACACCTGGAGTCACAAACTCATACACCTTATGCGGGTCATAAGGGTCCTTGCTCCGGTCCTCAACTAATCGCAGCACTTCCTTTCGGTTCAGGGCCGACCGGAAATTCCTTTTCCAGGTGGACATGTCTGGCTTGTCCCTCCCTGGGGTGTAGGCACCACTGGCTTCTGCCCAGGCCTGCAGGACAGTGGGGAAGACTGTGTTGACTCTGCCCTGAGGTCTGCTACCATGTTCTAACTTCATGGCTCCAGGTCCAAATTCTCACATTCATTGTACCCCATCCTCACTCCCAATTTCTGCATCAAAAAAAAAAAAATTTTTTTTTTAACTTTTGGTTTTGAAACAGGGCCTTCATTGTAACTCAGGCTGAGCTCCAACTTGTGATCCTCCTGCTTCAGCCTCCAGAATGCTGAGACTACTCCATATCCCCCTTTTAGCGGCCAGGAACAGGTGACAAGCGTCACATTCTTCCAGATTCACTACTACTAATGTATGCTAATTTGGTGGCTAGTGACCGCATATTTAAAACACATTGTAATGTTTAAGGGTTCTGCAACTAAGAGCCCCGCCCTCCAAAGAACTCCCAACCCCTTCCCTGACGCTCTTTGCCAACATACCTCTCCGGGTTCTATTCCCTGAACCCGACAATCAATTCGTCAATCAAAATTCATCGATTCGCACGCATCAGCTCCCACCAACAGGCCAGCGCTCGTGCAGGCCCCGCCCCTTCAGTGCCAACCCGCCCACCTTCACTAGTATGACCCCGCCTCTGGACCAGCCCCACCCCACCGGAACGCCCCTCGGAACCCTTTCTGCCCAGTGGGAGCTGCACCGAGGCACCCCGTGCCCGGGGCTCACCCACCTGGAAGATGCCGAAGTCGGCCATTTGCGCGTCCTGCCGCAGACCATGCTTCCACGGGATCCGGAACCGCGTGCGGCTGCTGTCCAGCCAGGCCACGCCCTCCAGCTGCCCCAGGTCCAGTTTCGACACCAGCCAGGGCACGATCCGCGGCTTCGGGGTCCCCATGCTGCGGCCTGCGTGTACGGTGCAGTTCCTCTAAGCCTACTTGGCCAGGGGGGACCACACGTGCCCCCCTTTTCCCAGATTACTTAAGTGTCTAGGCTGCCCCTTGCTCCGGGGAACCCCGCCTTCCACTGTTGCAGCGCAGAAAACCTCTGTTAATTTCCAGATCCTCCACCGAGAGTTCCTCCCAAACAGCCTCTCCCCTCTTCTAGAGTGGACTGTCCCGTCTGCAGCACATCCTTTCCTCCCCCAGGTACGCAAGTGCAGACGCCTCCCGCCCTCCCTTCTGGACGTGGTTTGGGTTTGTTGTTGTTGAGGTTGTTGTTTTTCTCTATATTCTGTTTCTAGATATCTTGAGACATGGTATTAGTGTGTAGCACAGGCTGACCTTGAATTCACTGTGTAGTTCTGGCTGGTTCTTGAACTCTGTAGCCCAGGCTACTTCTTGAATGCATTCTGCAGCCCAGGTTAGTTCTTGAACTCACTCTGTAGCCCAGCCTGGCTGATCTCTAGCTCACTCTGCAGCCCAGGCTAGTTCTTGAACTCACTCTGTAGCCCAGCCTGGCTGATCTCTAGCTCACTCTGCAGCCCAGGCTAGTTCTTGAACTCACTCGGTAGCCCAGACTGGCCTGGCTGATCTCGAAGTCCCTCTGCAGCCCAGACTGGTTCCTGAACTCCCTGCAGCCCAAGTTGGCCTGGCTGATCTCGAACTCTGCAGCCCACGCTGGCCTTGAAGTTGCAGCAGTCCTCTGCACCCCCATCCGGGGTGCTGGACCTGCGCAGGCCTGCGTCTCCACGCCCCGCTTTCTCCGGGTTTTCCCAGCGGAGCTCCAGCGCCAGCCTCGACTACTCCTCCGGGATCAGCCTGGCTCGGAACACCCCGGGCCGTCCCGCCGCTGCTCGGGGCTCTTCCGTGAGAGGGGCTCTTACCTACTGTGAGAGGATGGGCGCGCGCCCAGAGCTGGTGCCCACGCAAGTTTGGGGTTTCCGGCGAGTCTCACACTCGCTCGCCACTGCACCCCTTGCCCCTGTCAGCTGAGCTTCCGGGCGCAGGGGCTCCGTTTCCTATTGATTTCTTGAGACGAAAACAATTTTCTCATAATTTGGGTATGAAACTCGAAAGCCAAACGGGTGGTGGGTTCGGTGAGCCCCGCCCCGCCCCCTCCATGCCCTTTTCGATCTTCCGCTCGGAGGCATGCTGGGAACGTCATATGCAAATCAGGCAGACAGAACGCCCCGCCCCTTCGACGTTGGGGCGGTTGCCAGATCGGCCTAGTGCGCAGGCGCGGGAAAGTTGAACTATCAAAGAAAAGTTTGTACAAATTGAGTGGAGGCGTGCACGCCGGGGCGGCGGCGGCAGGGGTTTCCCCCATCTGCTCCCCGCAAGACCAGGTGAGTAGGGTGTCGGGGAGGGCTGGGGTGAGGAGGGGACCGGGATGCAGGAGCAGCCACCCCTACCCCCATCGTGGCTTCTCCCTAGTCCAAGTGCCTGGGGACTCCCCCCCAACCCCAGGTGCCAGCTCAGATAGCTGGAACTACATCTCCCAGGAGGCTGCGTGGTGAAACGCGGAGACTTTTGCTACTGTTTGCTACGAAGTCTGCTGGGATTGGTAGTTCCTGGTCCTCTAAGGGCTTCAGGAGCTCTGCAAGTTGCCGCCTTCGGAATCCAGGGATGACTTCTGCAAGCCCCATTTGCTCTCCCGGATTTAGGGGATCTATCCCCCACCTACTTTCTCTTTTAGATCCAAGAATCCAGCTTCAGCCCCTTCTTGTCCCAGGATAAAGAAAGCCCTATTCCTTTGCGGGTTCGACTGTCCCAAAGGCTCCAGAATCGGGGCCTCAGCCCCTTCCTTGTAGGGGACCTTTGAGTCCAGGTGCCCTCTGCATGCGGGGACTACATGAACCTCTCATTGGACTTGAGTGCATCCCTGTTTTCTCCCTCAGGTGCCTCCATGGCTGGCTCAGAAGAGCTGGGACTCCGGGAGGACACACTGAGGGTCCTGGCAGCCTTCCTTAAGCGCGGTGAGGCTGCCAGCTCCCCTGTTTCAACTCCACCCAGGTGAGTGAGTTGCTCTTCCCCACCCCCAGGACCAGCCTTTGAGTGGAAGACTCCTCTCTGACTCTTGCTCCTGGTCCTAGCCGGTCTCCTCCACACTTCAAATCTGGTCCCATGCCCTGTTTCGAGTTTCAAGAAGAGTTCTTCCATGGGAGGTCAAAGGGATGGCTTGCCCAGGACTCTGGGGTCACTCTGAGGTTCTTGGCCCTAGGAGCCCTGTCCAAGAGGAGCCAACCGATTTCCTGAGCCGCCTTCGAAGATGCCTCCTGTGTCCCTTGGGGAGGGGAGCTGCTCCCCCGGAAACCTCTCGGCCTTGCTCCCTGCCACTCCGCCCCTGCTATGGTTCAGAGCCTGGTAAGAGCTTTACCCAGATCACCTGTGAAACTGGCAGGACCCAGAGCTTTGGTTTGGAAAACCCAGACAGTACCAGGAGCAAGGTCAATATCACTCAGCTATGGGTAGCCATGTGTGGGGTCTCCAGCCCTCCCCTCCTCCCAGTTAGATTTCTTTCCTTCCTTCCTTCCTTCCTTCCTTCCTTCCTTCCTTCCTTCCTTCCTTCCTTCCTTCCTTCCCTCCCTCCTTCCCTCTCTCTCTCCCTCCCTCCCTCCTTTCTTCCCTCCCCAGGTTCTCCAGACCTGGAATTCGCTGTGTAGACCTGGCTCTGCCTCAGCCTCCCGAGTGCTGGAATCACAGGTATGGGCCTGCAACCTAAGGCTCCCACGTAAATGTCTGTCTAGCAGCTCTAAGGAGGCCCTTTCACCTGTTTCTAGCTAATCTCCCTCCCTGATTTCCAGGGAAGCCTCTTCTGTAACCCCGGCCCAAATCGAAAGATGGGTTTGACTGGTTGGCTATAGGACTGGAAGAACCCTTTCTCTTCCTTGTATCTCTTTTTTTCAAGCAGCAGAGTAGGACTGGATTGAGGGGTGGTCAGGAATGTCAACAGAGCTGGGCGTAGCGGTACACACAGGGTCTCAACACTTGGGAGGCTCAGGAAGGAGGATGGCTGTGGTTTTGAGGCCCCCTTGGGTTACAGGATGAGAGAGAGAGAGGGAGAGAGCACTGGGGAGCTGGAGAGATGGCTCAGCCATTTAGAGAGAGCACTTGTTTGGTTCCCAGCACCCACATAGTGGCTAACAACTGTCTATAACTCCAGTTCTGGATATCCGACGCCCTCTTCTGGCCTCCTGGGGCATTCTATGACATGGGTGCACTTACACAGGTTTAACACTCATACACATAAAATAAATTTAAAAAATTTTTTTCAAACTTTAATTTAAAAAAAGAAAGAAGGAGCTGGAGAGCTGGCTCAGCAGTTAAGAGCACTGACTGCTCTTGCAGAGGACCCGGGTTCGATTCCCAGCACCCACATGGCAGGTACAAACCTTAACTCCAGTTCCAGGGAACTCAGGAGCCCTCTTCTGACCTCTGTGGGAATTGCACGACACGGGTACACTCACATACATGCAGGCAATACACTCATACACATAAAAAATTAAAATTAAGGAAAAAAAAGAAAAGAAATGATTAACTGGTTTCCTCTTGAAAGTGTGCCTGGGTAGATAGACTCTTAATGGCTTTTTTTTTTTTTTTTTTTTTTTTGTCTTTTTGAGACAGGGTCTCCCTGTAACCCCAGCTGTCCTGGAACTCACTATATAGACCAGGCTGGCCTTGAACTCACAGAGATCCGCCTGCCTCTGCCTCCCAAGTGCTGGGATTAAAGGTGTGCACCACCATGCCCGGCAAAAATATTTTATTTATTATTTTTATTTTATGTATATGAGTGTTATGCCTCCATGTAGGTAAGTACACCTGTGTCGTGCAATGCCTGCGGAGGACAGTTAGGCTGTCGGATCCCCTGGAACTGGAATTGTGGACAGTTTTCAGCTGCCATGTGGGTGTGGGATTCGAACCCGGATCTTCTGCAAGAACAGTCAGTGTTCTTAACCACTGACCCATCTCTCCAGCCATTAGTGGCTTATTTAAAAAGGAATGTGCACCGGGTGTGGTGGCGCAGGCCTTCAATCCCAGCACTTGGGAGGCAGAGGCAGGCGGATCTCTGTGAGTTCAAGGCCAGCCTGGTCTACATAGTGAGTTCCAGGACAGCTGGGGCTACAGGGAGACCCTGTCTCAAAAAGACTCCCCCACCAAAAAAAAAATAAAAAAAATAAATAAAAAGGAATGTGCAACTGCAAAGATAAGTCTGTAGTCAGTTGATGATATCTAAACTGGACATGGGATGGGATGGCAATGGCAGGAATGCCATGTGTTTGCCTTCGCTGGACGAGGTAATCTTCAGGGTTCAGCTCTGATAGTCTCAGTTTAATTTGAGGACACAGTAAGTGGGAAGGCCCAGGATTTTGATGTCTTTACTGAATTCTCTTATGGACTCAGTTTACCCCTTTGTGAAATGTCAATTGTTGCTGTGTGACAATGTGGTTACTGTGTTCCAGATAGTCATCGACTGCTTTTCCACCAGGCCCAGCCACTCCTGACTTCTATGCCCTGGTGGCCCAGAGGCTGGAACAACTGGTCCAGGAACAGCTGAGGTCCCCACCTAGCCCAGGTAAGCAGCAGAGTGGCCTTGGAGAGGGGTGAGGGTCTGATCAGAGGAAAGCCAGGGCTCCACCCTGAGTCAGATTCTCTCCCCACCCCCCAGAGTTCCAGGGCCCCGCACCCACCGAGAAGGAGGCCCTGTTGAGGAGGCTGGTGGTGTTGCTGGAGGAGGAGGCAGAAGTCATCAACCGAAAGGTGACAGGCTCCATTCTGCACTGGGGGACGGGGGTCTCAGGCTAGAGCTGCACTGACTTTGGTGGGGCCAGAGGGCCAAGGTGACACGGCTTGGGGTAAACGGCCAGAGCTGCACTGCAGTAGGCGTTCAATCAGAGGCTTCCAGTGGTCATTTGGATGCAGGGATCCAACTAACAGAAACATCCAGGAGAGAGATTAGGGATTAGGGCAATGACAGAACCCTTGCCTAGCAAGCCCCAGGCCCCGAGCTGTGTCCATCTATCACCACCACCCCATCCATGTGAAAAAAACCTGAAAATAAAGAACAGCAGATTAAGGAAGGGAACCCGAAACAAGACCCAGGAGAGGGGGAAGTAAAAGAGTAGATGTGGGGGGAGTGTGTAAGGTAGGACTGTGGCAGGCAATGGTGCCAGACACCTGCACACCCTCCCCACTCCCCTGGGAGTCTGAGGCAGGAGGATTGTAGAAAGAGTACATTCCAGGACAGCTGGGGCTGCGGAGTGAGGCCTTGTCTCAGAAAGCTGTGATTGACAGGCAGGGGATGTGGCTCAGTTGGTAGAGTACTTGCCTAGTGGTACCAGGAGGCCCCAGGACAGCACATTCCTGGTGTGGTGGTGTGTACGCCTGTCATCCCAGTACTTGGGAGGTGGAGGCAGGAGGATCAGGAGTTTACCATCATCCTGGGCTACAGTGCTGGGCTATCTAAGACATGTCTTTAAAATCAAGCTAACAAAAAACCCTGATGGGCAGCAGTAGGGCTATAGCTTAGAATGTAGGAAATGGCCTTCCAGAGGGGCGTGGTCTGGGTTTCCTGGAGTCTGATTGGCTTTCAGACCTGGACAGTCAGTCCTATAACATCCAATTCTATGGAAAAGGTTGAGGTTATAGACAGCAGCCTGGCCTCAAGGACTAAAAAAAAGGAGCACAGAACTGGTGCTTGGTTCTGATTGGCTGTCAGGAACTAGGCTGGAGCATGGCCACCTTTCCTGGGAGTCTTGGCCAAGGCTCTAGAGGGGCTTGTGGATGGGCAGGACTTAGCGCTAGCATCTAGAGGAAGCCACATCCCCGTTCCCCGGGGGCTGGTTGCCGAGCCTGGCCGAGGCTAACCCCGGCCCCCCTGCACCCCACAGCTGGCCTCGGACCCCACGCTGCACCGCAGACTAGCCCGTCTCTCTGCCGGCTCCTTCGCCCGTCTGGTGGAGCTCTTCTCCAGCCGGGAAGGCAGCGCCCACCCGAGCCGCGGGAGCCCATCACTGCCATGCCCCGGGCCTCCCCCGCCGTCCCCGGAGCCCCTGGCCCGCCTGGCCCTGGCCATGGAGCTGAGCCGGCGTGTGGTCGGGCTGGGGGGCACCCTGGCCGGCCTCAGCGTGGAGCATGTGCACAGCTTTGCGCCCTGGATCCAGGCCCATGGGGGTTGGGTGAGTCGTCCCCTCGGCCTAGGCCTCAGTATACCCAGCTGCCCGGGACAGGGCCGTATAGGTTTCCATCCAGGACTCCCTGCTTGGCCTTTGGTTCCTTCCTGTCCCTGCTGAGTAGCTGCTGCGAACTATGCGCAGGGTAGAGAGGGCCGATGCCGAGCCTGCAGTGTGCACGGCTGGCCTGCACCCAGCAGGGCCTCAGCCAGCAGGGCTGCACGCTGACAGCCTCACCCCTCCCAGCTTGGTTCTCCTGCAAAGGTTGTGGATCACCCTGAGGTGCCCCTCCACCACCTGGCCTCTGCAGCAGCACCTGCCCCAGCTATGTTCCAGATCAGTCCAGAGAGGCTGTAGGCCCCTATTTATTTAGACACAATGTCTCACTATGTAGCCCTGGCTAGCCTAGTACTCCCTATGTAGACCAGGTAGGCTCCATCTCAGAGAGCCACCTGCTTCTGCCTCCTGAGTGCTGGAATTAAAGGCATGTTAGCTGCCATGTGGGTGCTGAGATTGAAACCCAGGTCTTCTGCAAGAACGACCAGTATTCTTAACCACAGAGCCATCTCTTCAGCCCCAAGATTGATTGATTGATTGATTGATTGATTGATTGATTGATTGATTGATTGAATGAATGATTGATTTTTGGTCTTTTTTTTGACACAGGGTCTCCCAGCAGCCCACTTGGTCTGGAACTTACTATGTAGACCAGGCTGGCCTTGAACTCATAGAGATCCACCTGTCTCTGCCTCCTGAGTGCTGGGATTAAAAGCGTGTGCCACCATGCCTGGCTCCAAGATTTATTTTTAATTATTGTGTATATGTATATATGTGTATGTGTTTGTGCACAGGAGTGCAGGTACCTGCAGAGGGTAAAAGAGGGTGTTGGGTCCCCTGAAGCTGGAGTTATAGGTGGTTGTGAGCCACCAACATGGGTGCTGGGATTCAAACTCTGGTCTTGAACAGGTTCAAGACCAGTATGTGCTCTTAACCACTAAGCCACCTCTTCAGCTCTGTAGTTGTTTTTTTTAAATTTAATTTTATGTGTACATGTGTGTTGCCTGCATGCAGGTAAGTACACCCGTGTCATGCAATGCCCAAGGAAGTCAGAAGAGGCTGTCAGAACCCATGGGACTGGAATTATGGACAGTTGTTAGTTGCCATGTGAGTGCTGGGATTTGAACCTGGGTCTTCTGCAAGAAAAACCAGTGTTCTTTAACCACTGAGCCATCTATCCAGCCCCTGTATTTCTTTTTTAAGTTTTCTTCCCATTTATTTGTTTTGAGGGGGCGTGTGCCACAGTATACTTGTAGAAGTCAGAGGACAACTTTTGGCAGTTGGTTCTCTCCTTCCACCATGCCGGTCCTAGGGATTGAACTTGGGATGTCAGGTTTGGCACAAAGTGCCTCTACTGCAGAGCCATCTCACTTGCTCTTCATTTTTTTTTTTCCTGTGGAGCTGGGAATAAAACTCAGAGCCTTGCATGTACTGGGCATGAGCTCTACGGGGCCCAGCATTCACTGCAGCCACCAATATGGGTGTGGCTCAGTGGTAGCACAACTGCCTGATATATGGGGGTATGTGGGTCCCTCATAGGACTTCAGACAACAAATGAACGCATTAGTGACCCCAGCATGTGAGAAGTGGAGGCCTAGTATCAGTAGTTCAAGGCCAGCCTGGGCTGCATGAAACCCTGAATAAGAAAAAAAATAATAAAGCCCAACGGCTGTTTGTACTCCACACCCCAGTCTCTCTCTCTCTCTCTTTTTATTAATTTTATTTTTATGTGTATCAGTGTATTGCCTGTATGTATGTACGTGCACCCATGTCGTGCGATGCCCTCAGAGGTCAGAAGAGGGCATTGGATCCCTTGGAACTGAAGTTAGGACGGTTGTTAGCTGGTCATATAGGTGCCGTGACTTGAACCACAGTCCTCTGTAAAGGCAGACGGTGTTCTTAACTGCTGACCCAGCTCTCCAGCCCGAACACCCCTAGTCTCTTAACATACTAGAGTGAACTCCTGCTTGCCCTTGCTTCCTGTCTCCTTTGACATCTCTTTTTCTTGCATGTGTATGTTTGTGTGTGGACACTTGTGGTTGCACATGTGTGTGTGTGAGCACACTTGCCAGTCTACACACACTCATGTGGCCATCAGCCGTCTTTCCCCATCACTTTCTACAGTGAGGTGGGGTCTCTTGCTGAACTGAGCTCTCTGGTTCAGCTCCTCCTGGGCCAGCCTGCTGAGGATCCCATGTCTCTGCCTCCTGTCCATATCACTGCACCTGCTTGACATTTACTTGGGTGCTAAGGAACCAGATTCAGGCCCTCATCTCTGGGCAGCAAGGGCTTTGCTCCCTGAACCATCTCCACAGACCGCCACGCCTGGCAACCTGAGTCCCATCCCCAAAACCCATGGAAGGAGAGAACTGACTCCCCAAAGTTATCTTGTAACCTCCACAACGCAGCAGCATGCATGTAACCTCCCCCCCCGAATAAATAAAGTTTAAATTTTTTTAAAAAGTTTAAGGGACTGGAGAGATAGCTCAGTGTTAAGAACACTGGCTGCTCTTGCAAAGAACCTGGGTTCAATTCCCAGCACCACTGTGGTGGTAACAACCGTCCATAACTCCAGTTCCAGGGGATCTCACGCTCTCTTCTGGCCTCCAAGGGCATTGCATGACACTTAAACACATGCAGGCAATACATTCATATACATAAAAATAAAATATTAAAACAATTTTTTTGGGGGGGGTCATTTTGAGACAGGGTCTCCCTGTAGCCCCAGCTGTCCTGGAACTCACTATGTACACCAGGCTGGCCTTGAACTCACAGAGATCTGCCTGCCTCTGCCTCCCGAGTGCTGGGATTAAAGGCATGTGCCACCATGCCTAGCTTAAAAAAATTTTTTTTTAAAGGTGAGAGGAGACTCTGGATTTGGTGGTGCAGGTCTGTCATCCCAGTAGTTGGGAGGCTGAAGCAAGAGCATCACAAGTTCAAAGTCAGCCTAAGGAAGTTAGTGAGAGGCTGTCTCAAGATACAGTATGTAAAAGAGGGCTGGGGGCAGGGGGCTGGGAGATGGCTCAGTGGTTAAGAGCACTGACTGCTCTTGCAGAGGACCTGGGTTTGATTCCCAGCCCCCACATGGTGGCTACAAACTGTCCTTAACTCCAGTTCCAGGGGATTCTGAAGCCCTCTTCTGACCTCCAAGGCATTGCATGACACGGGTGCACTCACATACATGCAAGCAATACACTTATACACATAAAGTAAATAAAAAGGGCTGGGGAGGTAGCACAGTAGTAGAATCCAGCACCTGGGAAAGAGAGGGAAAAGTGCCTTCTGGAGGCACAGCCAGCCACCCAGGGAGGGCCTGGGGCACCTGGATCTGACCCCAATGGTTAGGTGTCTGAGCTGCTCCTGTTATGGGCACAGTGCCCCCTCGTGGCCTCTTGTGGAACAGCCAGGATGCCTGGAGGTGGGGTGAGGCTGGGGGTGTGTCACAACCAGGGCTGAAGAAAGGATTCTGCTTTCCTTGGTTGATGTGGCCACAGGGCCAAGGATGCTGGTCTGAGCATCTACAGGGCCCCCACTGTTCCTGGGGAGGGGAGGGGAGGGGAGGGAGAAGGCGATGGGGGTGTTCACATTATACACAGGCAGGACCTGGAGAGGAAGTGTGGGGCTCAGCAGAGATGTGGCACACAGGCTTGTTTGAGCAGAGACGACAGTTGCACTTGGAGGAGGCAGGACCTGGGCAGCAGTGTCACCAGTAAAGGAATGGTTCTTAGAGCCAAGGCCCAGCCAGCACAGAGCCACCACATCATCATTAAAGGGCCAGAACTCTGTACCCCTCTCTCTGGGGCTCTGTCCCTCTCTCTCTGGGGCTGTCTCTGCCTCCACCCTGTCCATCTCGTACCACCATACCATCCCATCTTTTATCACTGTGCAGTGGCAGCTGTTAGTGGCCATCCCTTCTCAGCTCACAGGTTCTCTGCCCCTGCAGGCAGGCATCCTGGCCGTCTCACCTGTGGACTTGAACTTACCTTTGGACTGAGCTCCTCTGCAGCCACTACAGGACTGGACCGTGGGCCCTGCTGGCGCACTCACTTCCTCTCAGGGTTATGAGGTGGGGGCTGCCCTACCAGTTTTTACCAAAAAGAATGTTTTGAAATGTTTCATATTAAAAGTAGTTTGTTCTTTTACTGGAGAACTGAAGAGTGTGTGTGTACATGTTCATGTGTGCACATGTGCATTTGGGTACATATGTATGTGCATGTGTGTGAAGGCCAGGGAACAAGGTCAGGGCCTTCCTCAAGTGAGCCAAGTGTTAAACTGAGCTCCATCCCTAGCCCTCATGTGATTGCCATTGGCTTGTGTGAAGGGTGTTCTGACAAAACTCCCTGAGGCTGCCAGGGGGTGGGCCTAGTTATCAGAAGGGTGGGATAATGGACAGGACTGTGTCAGTGGGTGCACACCATCCTTCAAGTCTGCTGGGCATGATGGTGCAGGCCTGGAATCCCAGCAGTCAGGAGACAGAGGCAAGAACCTCAGGAGTTCAAGGCCAGCGTGGGCTACTTGAGACCCTGTCTCTAAAGTCACAAAACCAAGGTGGGGGTGATGGCTCAGTCAGTGAAGTGCTTGCTATGCAACCATGAGGATCAAGTTTGATTCTCCAGCACCCACATAAAAGCAGGATGTGAGGCATATGTCTATAATTCTCTCTGCTAGAGAGGCAGACGGAAGGATGCCTGGGGCTTGCTGGTTGTCCTGTCTAGCCAAATGGGCAAGCTCCAGGTTCAGTAAGACCCTGTCTCAAAAAATAAGGTGAGGGCTAGAGAGATGGCTCAGCAGTTAAGAGCAATGGACTTGCTGTTGCAAAGGACCCAGGTTCGATTCCCAGCACCCACATGGTGGCTAACAACCATCCCATCCCTAACTCCAGTTCCAGGGGATTCAATGTCCTCTTCTGACCTCTGCTGGCTTGCAGGACACAGGTGCACTTACACACATGCAGGCAATACACTCATACATGTAAAAAATATTTTTTAAAATAGTAAGATGGGCTGGAGAGATGGCTCAGCGCTTAAGACATCTGCATAGGTGATGTCTTAACCACTTAAGACCCAGGTTCGAATCCCAGCACTCACATGGCAGCTAACAACTGTCCATAACTCCAGGTCCAGGGGATCTGACAGCCTCTTCTGTCCTCCTCAGGCATTGCATGACATGGGTGCACTTACCTACATGTAGGCAATACACACATACACATAAAAATAATAAAGGGGCCGGAGAGATGGTTCAGTGGTTAAGAACAGTGGTTGTTCTTGCAGAAGACCCGGGTTTGAATCCCAGCACCCACATGGCAGCTAACAACTGTCTGTAACTCCAGTCACAGGGGACCCGGCAGCCTCTTCTGACCTCCACAGGCATTACATGACACGGGTACACTTACCTACATGCAGGATACATGCATACACATAAAATAAAAATTTAAAAATAAAATGTATTAAAAAAGATGGAAATCATTTGACTTCAGTCTTGGGCCTCTACACACACATGTGCACACACTTAAAATCCCAATTAAATACATAAAGTGCTGCTGTTTCCCTTTCTGGAGCGAAGCCCAGTCCAAATGCATTCTTAGTCACAGCCCTCACCAAGCCCCTTTCCGTATTTGTGGCTTAGCCTCTTCACCTGTCAAAGGCCGTACAGACAAGTGAGGGCACAGCTGTCCCGCGCACCTAGGAGGGGCTCAGTAAAGTTGAAGTGACTGGGGATGGCTGAGGGACTGAGCTGTAGTCCTGGGGAGAGTCTTCCATAAAGCCATGAGCAGAGGCAGGGGCTGGGGAGCTGTGGGGACAGGCAGGTGGGAGGACCTGGGCAGGGTGCAGGTGGGGGACTGACAAGCTAGAGGGGACAAAAGGTGGGAGGAGGGTGACTGGGTGCTAACAGCTGTGGGACAGAGCCAAGGGACCAGCAGGAGCCAATCAGAAAATCATTATTTGATTGATTGATTGATTGACTGATTGAGACACTGTATAGCCCTGGCTGGCTTGGAATTCCCTATGTCGACCAAGCTGGCCTCTTAACACAGATCCTCCTGCCTCGGCCTCCCGGGTGTTGGGATTAACTACGTGCACCACCTCGCCCAGCCCCATAGTGGACACCTTGACTGTCAGGGAGTCAGTGAGATGGCTCAGCGGGTAAAGGAGCTTGCCAACAAGCCAGGGACCCGCATGATAGAGCAACCTCTATAGGCGCTCCGTGGCATCCGCACAACCATACACACGAACTAGCCAGGCTACACAGTGAGACCTTGTCTGAAAATAATAGAAAATAAAGCACAAAGTAACAGGCGTCTGGAGGAAGCAGGCCAAGTGTGCATGGACACCTAGGGCGGAGGCCCCCATCGAGATGGGGCTCATTCGGGGCTTTGAAGAACCCTAAGCTTGGACCGAGGACAGTACTGGGGACAAGAGGCAGGAGGCAGGTGCATTCATCTTCACGCAAGGAGAAACTTTCTGCAGATCCAGGAAAACTTCCCAGAGGAGGGGGCGTTCCAACTACCCATGATTGACGTGTACGAGATGGCCAGACAAAGGGAGAGGGCCTGTCAGAGGCCACGGGTCTTGAAGACCCGGAGCCGCCGAGTACCCGGGTGGGGCTCATGGCGCCGGGCCGCGCTCTCATTCCCCGCAGGGTCCAAGATCCCAGACGCGCCCGCGCCCACTACCCGCATCTCGGTGCTCGGGAGCCTCCTCCAGTCTCAACGCGGACTAGCGCCCTTGTTCCTCCCGGACTCCCCTGGGGCAGGGAGAATCCACCGAAGGACGATGACTGACATTCCTGGGAACCAATCGTTGCCGCCCAATGCTTCTGCAGGGCCAATGGCTTGTGTTCTTCTTGAGGCTAGCCGCTAGAGGAGGGCGGGGTAAGAGCCATATACGTCACCTTTGTCTTAACCAATAGCGAGGGAGAGGCGGGCTATACTGGTGATGGACAGCTCTGTTTCTCGACCTCCGCAAAGCGCGGAGCCCGCCGGGAAACTCTGGGGCGGAGCTGACCGGAAAGGGGAGGGACGCACTGGTGGAATTCACCCAATCACCACACGCGCTGGGTGAGATCGATAGACAGTTGTTCCCGTCGTGGTCGACTGGAGGGGGCGGGCCTCGTAACGCTAGGAGGAGCGGGCCCATCGTGGTTGACGGGCGTGGCCTTTATCCAATGGAGACGCGAGGCTGCCAGACAGGCGGCTCTGCTGGCTAATGAGAACTTCTGGCGGGGTCTCTGGGGGAGGGCCGTGGACCCTTTGTTAAAAGGCGGTCCCGGGTGGGGGGGAGTGAGGAGAAAGGGGGGGGGTCTCGGAGGCTGGAGGATTCGGGTGAAGATGGCGGCAGCCGAGGCCGCGAACTGCATCATGGAGGTGAGCGGCCGGGCTCCTCAGGCCCCGGAGGGGCGGCGCGGGGCGGGTGGCCTTCGGCCTGGGCTGAGGAGACGGGTCCTCGGGACGCGCCGTGGGTCGCGCGGGCCCGTATCGTGGAATGAGTTCCATCGTGGGGGGGTGACCCCAGCTTTGGGGGGCTCCGTGGCCCCGCAGTCCAGCCTAGGGTCGTCGCACGTGGCCGCGGGCCGGGGGCGCTTCCGGCCGGGCCGCACGTGGCCGCGCGTCGTGGGGAGGGGGGTGTGCCGCTCTCGAGGCCCTGCGGGCTCCACGTGCGGGACAAAGGCCCCGCCCCCGGCCCCGCGACACCAGCTGCACCCCGGGGAGGCCTGGGGACGTCGGTGCACCCCGGGCCCCGTGCTTCCCGGCCCCAGCACCCCGGCACCCCGTTCCCAGCTCTGGGTCCCCCACCCTCTGCCTGCTGGAGCTGGGGGGATGGGCAGGCTCTGTGACCTCTCTCTCTAAGGGAAAGGTGGGGTGTATCCACCCAGAATCTGGATCATGCGCCGCACACCCCCTCTTGGTCATTCTGGGCGCGTGGGAGGGACGTCTTTTTTCGTGGGGCGTGGCCCCCTAACCTACCTCGTGGGTGGCCAGAGGTAGGTCTCGGGCCGCAGGGCCTTAGCCCTCACCATGCAGCTGTACCCCTTTTTTCTGCATATTGGGGGTCGGAGATGACCCGTTCCATGAGAGTTACTACCATGGCCTGGATCTTTTTTTTTTTTATTTAACCTCCCCCCAAAATTGATGAAACTCGGTGGCCTAGTCTGATGCTTGTTTCTGGGTAGGAGCTAAAATCCCCAGTCCAATTTTTTTTTTTATTTTAATTTACTTTTTTTTGTTGTTGTTTTTGGTCCTTTTGAGACAGGGTCTCCCTGTAGGCCCAGCTGTCCTGGAATTCACTTTGCAGACCAGGCTGGCCTTGAACTCACAGAGATCTGCCTGCCTCTGCCTCCCGAATGCTGAGATTAAAGGCATTAGCCACGATGCTGAGCTTTTAATTTTATTTTTATGTGTATGAGTGTATTGCCTGCAAGTGTGTAAGAGCACTCTCGTCATGCAATGTCCTTGGAGGTCAGAGGAGGGCGCCGGATCCCCTGGAACTGAAATTTTGGATGGGTTGTTAGCTGCCATGTAGATGCTGGGAATCGAACCCGGGTCCTTTGCAAGAGCAGCCTGTGCTCTTAACCACTGAGCCATCTCTCCAACCTCCCAAGTTCCTGATAGGCCTTAGCCACCAGGTCCTAGTCTGCGGCTTCAAGCCCTTTCAGGGCCAGGTTGGTTCCTTGGTATTTGTGGTGTTGGAATGGTCCCACGTGGGGTGCCTAATAGGTCATGGCCCCAGACTTGGCCCCTCTGGGAGCCTTGGAAGATCATTACCAAAGGGATGTAACCTAATGGGGGCCCATTCCCCTTGACATTAGAGAGGGTGGTCAGCTGGTAGGGCACCTGCCGTGGGGGTCAACCTACCTCCCGGGGTCACTGCAGTGGCCCTGGCAGTGTGTGGACAGAGGAAACACCCCCCAGAGGCTGTTTCAGTTTGGCTCTACATCCTGGGGCCCGGGTGGGGTTTGAAAGAGCTGACCCTGCTTCCCTAAGGTTCTTCCTGCACTCTTCCTGGGTGGCTCCCTTCCTAGGAGGCTCAGTGTGTTCTCCACCCAAGGTGGAGTGAGGGGCCAGTGTGCCCACTGCCCTGTGATGGTGTGCCACATCTCTCAGGCTGGGAGACGGGGTTTTGGCTGTGCTGTTAGGTGCCCAGGC